TTACTATTTAAGTGCGTGGTAATCTTGCGAAAGAATCGAGATTGCACCATATACTACTTTTCTCATAACTTAAGGGCCGTTTGTTTTCACACTTCATTCTCGAAATTGCCATATCCACATCATTTGTATTTCGCTAGTCCCCTCGAGAACCAGGCACTCCTGCAGGCACTCTGCATCGTGGTGTCAGCTCCGTCGAACCGGGAAGCCTATCTGCTGCTGCCTGGCGTACTCAGCTCGCCTCTCAAGTCAACCAGCGTACAGCTTCACGACATCGGGCACTTGGCGCCAGTCTCCTCATGACTGCCGGTCCACCACATCCTTTTTCAGGCTCCTTAGGCCTTTATCCGGCCATCTCAGACCAACTAATTGGGCTGACTAACGGCGAGGCCTTTTCCAATGGTCCAGCTATGCTGTCCAGCAACGTCAGTACACCGGGAAATCTGGCCAGCGTCCAGTTCGAGGTGCCCCGACCGCCAGCGCTGATCCGTTCAGACAACAGCGCACATCGTGCAACTGTGGGCCTGATAGATCTTCAGCCGACCTACGAGTACGTCACAGTACCCAAGCGGTCCCCACATGCCTACCTCAAAGCTATTTCGATCAACCAGAGCCAGTTCTCCATGCTTCCAGGGCAGACTAACATCTACGCTGACAACACTTTTATTGGAAAGGTTTGTGTTATCTCTGCCTCCAGCTATGCATGCGATTATGTAAATACTCCTCTGTAGTTTTTGCATATCTACCTTTATGCTTATTTTCCAATCTTACCAGATTCTAAGGCCCTTCAGCCAAATACCAATAAGTTCGGGAGTGTCACCTGAAATTCGCATTTTCGTGGGGAGTACCTACAACAAATTCAGTGGATAGTGAGTGTCCTGCCACAAAAAGTATCGTTGAAATATTTCTCGAAAAGATGCAAGTATTACGGCGGTCTTCATCATAAAAACAACTTTTGAAAGAGCTCTGTTGTGGTCAATCGGCTAAATCGACGTATGGTGATTTCGCTTCATCTGTCAACCACTCGTACTTCATATTGGACGGGCTGACGGTCTTAAAGCAATTCACTACTTGATAACATACGTTGGGGGCGACAGATGCTACTTCGGCCAAATGGCTTTGTATCATTTTACATACCAAGTGCACATTCATATGCAGTTGCTGGCATTACTGGCCCCACATTTTCATCGTCATCTCTAAATCATTTCGAATACAGACCATGCATGCTCAGAAATAAGTTAGACTGCATAGCTTTATCGCCATTGAATATCACTTTATGTGTGGCCCTTGTGCCAATGGGTCTTTAGTTGAAACAGCGTGGGGACGCTAATTCCGATAGCTTATTTTATAGACATGGGCAGTTTACTTTCGAGGTTATCAGGGAATCTCATTAAAAGACTCTCATTGGAGTACTGTATTTTATGCTATGAATCCGAGGAGATAGGTCAATGTGTGTTTGCCAACAAACATCAGCTTCTCGATTGAACCGACTAATTTGGACCATCAGAGAATATACGGATTTGGTATATCCAACAGATCGCCTCACATCGTGCATCCTAAACTAAAATACATCCAGCAATCCTCGTTGAGGATACCAAGATATCTTTGTTCATCCCCGAGCAACTACACCTTCATTGCGGTAAATCTCGCTTAAACGAGTTAAATGGCACTTTTGGCAACTTGTTTCTACGATGATTCATATTTGAAGCAAATATCAGGGTAAAAACTGCAAATTGAACATGTGAAGACCAAGATGTTGTGGCCTCGGGTATGGTCGCAGTCTCCTTTCGACTTATAGAAGTGGGTTGACCTCGTTGCGTTCTACATAGTCTCCCTGAACACAAGACCAAGTTGCGACAACGAGGTCAACCCACTTCTAAAAACGGCAAAATTTGACTAATCTTTATTTTATAGTTATTTTCAGTACTATTCTTGAAGAATATGCTCTAATTTCGAACATTTATTAAGGATATATGGTAGCTTTAAATTATGAATAAAAACTGGATTTCGAAGAATTTCTTAATGAAATATTGTGGCATAACTCTCCATTTCGAAGGGGAAGTTGGTTGGAAGGAATTCGTGATGTGATCTCACCGGAAACCGAAGGAGCATTGTCGCGTATGGAAGGCTGTTGAATTGTGCAAAGAAACACTCGGCTCACCGTCCTGCCACCCCGACGAAATTGTGCTAAGCTTTCGTCTGTACTGTGACAGACGGAGCATGATTCCACACTAGGAAATAGAGCAAAAATATAGTAAACCAAGAGAAGAAGGTGGCCGGCTGCAACCCTAGTCGCTTTTTATACACCTATCATCGTGATCTTAATGAGGCCTCCCCTGATTTGGTCGGCTAGTTCATCCTTACTCTACATGCTCGCAAATGAGTGAGGTTATCTTCCCGAATCGGAAATGCGTTCGGTGGCTGCTGTTTCATCCTACACACACACACACACACACACACACACACGGAAAACTAGCGTACGATCGTCTAACGCTGAATCATGTTTGGGCTTTTGTTATTGTCTATTGTGTGTATGTAAGGCTTATGTTACGGGAATTGTGATAGTCCTAGCTAGACTCGAAGCTAATCCAGCCTCCTTCTCTTGCTCAGAGGCTCTTCCTGCACCCCTACCTCTCCCTTTCCATGAGTTT